GAAATCCTTTCAAAAAAACCTAATAACTTTAAAAACTAAAATCATTTCAAAAACGTAGTAAGTTTAGAAAACGTAAAATCCTTACAAAACCTTGAAAAATTAATACTTTCACTCCCAAAAAATTTTAAAATATGAAAATCCAGTCCTTACAAAAACATAATTTTAAAAATAAGAATCGTTTCAAAAACATAGTAAGTTTCAAACACTTAAAATTGTTACAAAACACTGAAAATTTAAATTACTTTCACTTACCTGAAAAGAGGTAATCCACTCCGCTCAGTTGATGAACGAAAAGTAATGAATTCTCAAAACGTTCTCGAATTATTGGGTAAAAGTATAGTTTAGGTTACCCCTTGGCAATTTTTGGCGGTACATGGTTACCGATTTTGTGCAATTCTTTGACTCGTTATTTTGGCTTGCGAAGCGGCGATTTTTGTCCCAAAAATCACCGCTACACAAAGCCAAAATAACAAGACAAACAATTGCACAAACACGGTATCCATGTACGTATCGACTTATTTTCACTTAAAAAAAAAACCCCGAATTGCATAAAAATGGCATTGCAAATATTTCACTGGAAAATATTTCACTTTATCCATGTACATATCGATCTACTTAAAAAAAAAAAAATCCCCAAATTGTACAAAAATGGCATTGCGCACTCTTTTAACTTTATCCATGTACATGCCTCACTTAAAAAAATCCTAGAATTGCACAAACTTGCATTGCGCACTCCCTTTACTTTGTCCATGTACACATTGATATATTTTCACTTAAAAAGTCAAAGAAGCACCAAAGTCTACGATATAGGCAAACAGAAAATACATAATCTCAATACAATACATTTTAAACCAAACAAAATAACATAAAAAGGAAGAACATGTTATACATTTAAGCACTACCAAAAGCAAATATTCACTTACCATGATTTTCGAGTTCGCTTCGTACACCCAGAGCCACGTAAAAATCAAAATATCAGTCATACTCAAATGACTTTTCAAACCAGGTACTCTTTCTGATCGAATGCTTCACATAGTTACCATCTGAACCTTTCTTCTTAAAAACTCATTCAAATCTATCTAAACAGTTTTAAAACACACCACAAAAATGCTTACAAAACATCCCATGGTTCAAATTTTCCCAGAATCATTCACCCGATTACGTCACAATAGGGTTTCCATAACATTCAACTACTCGGGCTACCATAAATGAAACAACAAGTTGGCGATAAATCAAACAACAACTTTGCTATAATACAAGGGGTACCTTAAAGTCTAATCTACCCAATTATTGTTTAAAACAACTGCACCTTTACCATCTATTATCGTCTACACCAATCAGAAATTCTAAATTTTAAAATACATACTGAGCACGTGCGAAAATGCTCCGAATTTCGTGCTCAAAAGAAATTCTCAATTTAAAATACTACGCATGCATGAAATGCTTTGAAATTAGCCTTCCAGAACGGCAAAATTGTCTTCGATACCACAATTGACGCACTTATCAATCTGGTAAAAAGCGCCAAACACAGCGCGCCAAATAAGTAAAAGTAAGCGATTCTGCACTTTAGCCGAGTTTTCAACGATACAAAAAACTTTTTATTACAGGAAATAGATTGGTTTTGCGTAATTAATGGGATTTTTGCCGTTGTATACATATTGATAATTCGTCAAACCTTGGCTCATACTTCATTAATTTGAGCACAACACATGCAGCACTCGGATTATCTGTCAGTCTGTTTCTTGTGTCACATTTGATATAATTCAAAGCTGAAAACAGCTGTTCACACACATAAGATGATCCAAACAAAGTAAGAATAGCACCCCCGAAGTATTTTCATTGATTTAAACTTATTTGGCAAAGAATTCCACGTTTTAAGGATTTAATTCTCATAACTTTCAATTGTGCTATCCTGTGTGATCTCTTTACATTTCATCTTTTCAAAGGCTGCATGCAGATCAGAGAATTTTTTTTTTTTTTTTTCCATGTAGAGCTTTCTTGAAATTCTAATAGCTCCATTCCCAGATTTTCAAGATCTGACCATTGTAAGCAAGAAAGATCAAATTCTTCAAACTTAGATTTATCTGGAGAAGAAAACACATGATTGTTTCCATCTGTTGGAACTGTAGAAATCTGTTATTAAAATTCTCCTTTACTGCTGCTATGATGCTTGAAAATTCCTCGTAGATTTCTTCACGACTTGAAGGATTGTGTGCAAATTGAGTAGAATTTTCTTTATTCATCTTTAGATTTGGAAAATATTTCAGCTGCCCACTTGCAAGATCTCTTTCGAAAATGTGCAGTTTTCTTTCAAATGTTTTTCTATCACTAAACATCCTTTTTGCCATTGAAGTAGATGATGATAATATGTGCACAGGTCCCAATTATGGCAGAGATATTTTGGAGTTTGTTCAAAGCTAAAAAAAATATCACCGATACAGATTTCGACAACGAAAATGAAATAGATAATGCAGCTCCTGTTTCCACGTCATCCAAAATGAGAAACATCATGAAAAGTATGTGCAGTTATTTAAACGCACATTCCAATGGTGAAAAGAATAACAGACTAGACGAGATAGAACCATTTTTTGACAATTTGACTAAAATAGACAATGCAAAGAAAAATATCAGATTATTTTCCAAAATCAATAAATGTTTTGTTTATCAAAAAACTTGAAAATTTTGCAATAAAGTTCTAGTGGATATTTTTGTTTCATTGATTTTTATTACACCCATGCATAGATACATATCTATTTAAATAAAATGTGCTCTAATAAACTTAATTTTGTACAATATACAGTCAAAAGTCGTTAATTCGGACACCCATAATTCGGAATGATCTATAATCCGGACATCAAAACTAAAAACTTTCTGCGCATGCGCCGCGTTGAACACATGCGCATAAGCGTTTACGCGTGCGCGTAAGACCTTTTACGACTGCGCGCGCATATGAGTGTGCGCAAGTGTAGAATACATTTTTGCGTGCGCATTTTATGTATAATGGACGTATAAGCTAAATAATTATCTATTTCAGTTAATGTTGATGATTGCGTTGTTCCTTAATTTTCGGATTGCATCCGGCTTATTATTTTTTGCAGACTGTAAGAGCAATTTTATAAAAGTAAGCTTAAACTTTCGATTATATCAAATAGAATTTCCGATATATATTTGTTAATATGTAAAGGATCTAAAGCGAAAGTATGTTTTGAAATCCGAAATCTGTTTATTAATTTCACGCTGCTCGGCGGGGGGAACGCCGCGGCGGGCGCGTAATGAATTGGAAGTTGATCTGTCAGCACTATCCTCATCTTCAGCGTAGATGTTTTTATTTTATTTGGCTTATAATTCCTTACCAAATGTAGTATTTCATCTTGATATGCTCCGTCTTTGATATGATTTAAAACAAGTTCCTCGTCATTATAATTCGCTTTCGATAGCGAAGAAAAGTGACAGAGGTTATTGAAAACGAAAAAATTTCGATTGACAAATTAGTCGGTGTTCTCGACACAGCAATTATAGGACTTGAACAGCGGAACTTTGTAACTGAACAGAAATTATGTCTGTTTAATAGAATTAAAGAGAAAAGTATTATCACATGAAACGAAGCAAAACTTAAACAACTTACATTGAAAGAAATGTTTAATAAAGTAAACAAATAAATATTAAGCTTTTTCTTTTTGCAAATTTTGATACCCTTTAGATCATAATTGTTCTTTATTTCATAAATTACGGTTTAATATTTTTAATTTTTGAATTCCTGCATGCCATCTTACGAGATTTAAACTGATGATCTATAATCCGGAAAAATCGATAATCTGGAATCGCCGAAGTCCCGACGAGTCCGGATTAACGACTTTTGACTGTATATTTCTTTTTTGCAATATCATTTCACACAAAATTCTTTGAACCGGAAAAAATATTTCAGTTCCCTCAGTTGCATGTTAAATGATTTTCACTGTATTGAAATGATGTTCCTAGAATTCTGTGTCTATTAATTCTGTTTCAGAGGTTACTTCAAAACACCCTTAAAAATAATTTATTGCTGACTTGACAGTGCTTACCATCAATTTTTTTTTTTTTTTTTTTTCAAATAACTTCTTCAAGATAAGAAGCATTTGGATCAAGGCTGCATGGGATATGGGGGAGGGGTTCTAATGCTACGGCCTACACCTATAAGTAGAGTCGAGTATTGCACTGTATAACGTATATAGTTTCAGTGGAGGAATTCTTTTATTCAAAGCAATGAAACGTAGGCCAGAATTATCAATGCATATTAATGCTGATATTGTGCATTCCATGAGAAAATAATACTTTGTGTATTTCGGGTTATAAAAAATTACCTTTTCCTGTGTTTCTTCACATGGTGTAGCTGATAGACGGCAGCTGGAAGATCCATGGATTGAATCCTGGTAGCCAATGTTAAGGGCATAGCAGATTTTTCACTTTTCTGATACAAAAAATTCTAATGACTGTACAGTAGCACTTACACAGTCATTCATTTGTTGTACAGTGACACTTGACTGAAGTGTGACAGGTGATTATTCATTACCCATCTAGCTTTGGCTGACTGGATCTTGTTAACATCTCTTTAGTCGTCCTTTAAGTAAGATGGAATAGAAGAAATTATCATCTTCCCCATGTTTGTTGCATGCAACTGTAGCATGTCAAGCTAGCAATCAGATGGCCTGTGATTCAAATCTTGTTGATAATTTGTCATAGCTAATTGATTTTTCATATTGCCCGTTCCAGGCCAACATAAGATTCTGTTTTCACACCATTACTTGTAATTGACTCTTGGCACATCTTTTAACTGTGTAAATTATTTATTTTTAAACTTTTCCACATTGTTTTGCCCAGCCATAAACTGTGTGTTTTGAATCAGCTGATAGAATGTATGATTGTATATCTTCCATACTAATTATGTTAAATAAAAATGAATATTACTATGATACTGAATGATTCCATGAATGACTTTTAGGTCATTACAAGAATAAGAAAACATGTCCTTAGCAGAAGAGCTTTTGGCTGACTTGGAGGAAGGAGGGGAAGCTGAAGATGAACATCTTCTGCAGTTGGATGCTCCTGTTCCTGAAGTGGATGATATTCCGATGGAAATTGATACAAAATTTCAGTCTGTAAGAGCTATAGCAAAACTTAGAGATAGCGAACAGGTAAGAATTATTGGCACTTCCTTATTAGAGTAACCCTGAAGTTTAAATCACTAATAAACAAAGATATCTCGGCTAATCTTTGGAATATGGTAACAGGTAATTTGGCGACATTTTAGCAAAGCGATAAAGGTTACTAGCTAAGACTTTAGGAGTGTACATGGATAAAGTCGAGAGTGTGTGCAATGCCATTTTTGTGCAATTCTGGGATTTTTTTTAAGTGAAAATAGGTCGACGTGTACATGGATGATACCGTATATGTGCAATTCTTAAAAATGTGGCAAGCAGTGGGCGATTCTGTACTTTGCCCCAATTTCGCATCTAATCTTCATCATGGTTAAGCACTTTTGTTCCATAAAAGTTCTAGCATAAGTGTAATTCGGCTAGCAGATTGTTGGAAAAAATTGTTGAGTAAAAAAGAAAAAACATGACTTTACTTCGTGAAAACAAAAACTAGCAGGTTGCTGGCCAAAAAATCTCCAAGTTGCCATAATCCAAAGATTAACCGATATCTCATTAAAATCTTGCCACATGTTCTTATACCTTGCTACGTGTTATACTTCACTTGATTAGCAATTAAATTTTGGAGGCCATTATAAAAAGGAAGTACTAAATTATTTTGTGGAATCTTTTTAATAAATTGTAATTTCAGTGGTCTATGTTTGTTATTCTGCGATGTTGAACAATAAAATTTGAAAAGGAGTTAAATATCATTAAGTATGTAAATATTAGTTTTACTTTTTTTTTTTTTTTTTTCCTGAAAGGGGGACCTAAAGCGTTTAATTTTAATGTATTAACATGGATTAAAAAGTAGAAATTTTGTTCAGAAATCAGAGCCTTCTTTTAGAAGGTAGGGTAGATCTTTTAGAAAGGTAGAAAACAAATTGTTATATTTTGTTCAATTCCTTGTAAAAAATTAGAATAAGAAAAAAGAAATTTCTATATTCATAAATCATATTATAATTAAACTGTTTTTCTTTTAGTTAGAAGAGTAAGAAACAAGTGACGTAGAAATTCAGAACGAAAAGAAGGTATCTTTTTTTTAAGGCTTTTTTTTATTTTCTCGTTCACATTCTTGTTAATTGTTCAATTTTAAAATTATCATTGGAACTTCATTATCTGATTCTGATCATTTTCAATATAATAATGTAAATTTTAAATTTCTTCTGTTTTTTTTTTTTTTTATTTATTTATTCAGTGTAATAAAAAATTATTTCAGCTGTGGGTCCTGTTGAAGCTGATCCTGAGTATCAACTAATTGTTGAAGCAAATAATTTAGCTGTGGAAATTGATAATGAAATAAGTAAGTTTTGTTGACTTATTTGAAGAATCATTAATTAAAAAGCGTTTATCTGTAATGAGAAACATTAAACTTCTAGGGAAATACTAAGAGCATCCTTTCCCCCCCATTCTTTCAAAGAACTTAAATAGCTTATGATATCTTTAAAAAATTCTTTAAATTTTGTTATTAAAAGGGAAAATATTGTAATTAAATATGGCAATTGTAATTTAGATATCACTGATCTTAAGATTCTGAACTACTAATATTTTGCTATTGGGAGTACAAATAAGTCTCTGCCGTTTGAAAAAAATGCCGTCACAGTTATCTTAAAATTGTCTGATGTAAAATGCCATATCCTAAGGTTGGACATCTGCTAACAACATAATCTTGAAATATTAGCGATTTTGTATCAGCATCATATATATTTTCATGCAAAAATGTCAAGCTTTGAGCTGAATGAGCGTCATTAGCCAAAACTTTTGATTTACTTTTTTAATTTGAAGAAATCTGCAGCTGAGTTGCATTAATTATATGTAGAAGCAGTAAGAATGCCATGAGGCTGCCTTAAATGAGAGAAGTTGTGAGTGCTTTCAAAAGATTAGAAATGATGAATTTGACGTTGAAGACAAAGAACAGAAGTACGATAGTGTGTGAAGACACGGAACTGGAAGCATTATTATATAAAGATTTGGTGCCAAATGCAAGTAGAACTTACATTTACATTAGGAATGTTTCAACAAACACTTTCACATCATTTAAAATCATTGGGAATGATTTTAAATATTCCCAATTTAAATGATACAAAAATAAAGAAATTGGGTTCCATATGAACTGAAGCCGAGAAATGTTGAATGCTGATTTCTTACATGCGAAATGCTGCTTGGTAGGTATAACAGGAAGGGTTTTTTTCATTGTATAGTCACTGGTGATAAAAAATGGTCATTTTGATGCCCTAAGAAGAAGAAATCATGGGAATGACCTGGCCTTGCTTCAACATGGTGGGATCAACTTGGTGTCACGTATTATGAGTGTCTTGATTAACCATTAATGGGGCTCTCTACCAAACACAACTGATGATATTGAACTGAACACTGGAAGAAAAATGTGCCCACTATAATTGCGGACGTGATAAAATTATTCTCCTACATGATAACTCTCATTCACACGTTGCGTTGCTGCTCAAAACCTACTCGGAAACACTGAAATGAGATTTCTCCCTCCTGCTGTATTCACCAGACACTGCTCCTACTGATTATTACTTGCTTTGATTGATCATGCATGGGCTGTCTGACTAGTACTTCACATCATATAAAGATACTATAAATTTAGTTGATTTGTGAATAACTTGGAAAGATGAAGCGTTCTTCCGACGCAGTATTCGCATGCTACCAGAAAGATGGAAAATAGTAGAGTAGCTGGCGATGGCCATAGTCTTTGGTGATGAAAAATGTGTCTACTATGATACGCAAAAGAAGAAATTATGGAGACCACCTGGCATTGCTTCAACATTGACAGCCAAGCCGAATATTCATGGAAAAAAATCATGTTGTGTGTATGGTGGGATCAACTCGGTGTCATGTAATTATGAGTTGCTCAACCGAGTGCTGCCTTAACTAGGCATATCTACTGAACACAAATTATGAGATTGAGCTGAGCATTCAAAGAAAAATGTTTCCACTACTATTCCAGACATAACAAAATTATCCTTCTGCATGATAATGCTCATCAGGAAGTTGCAATGCCGGTCAAACTCTACTTAAAAACACTGAAATGAGAAATTCCCCCCCTCCCTCCTACTGTATTCACCAGAAATTGCTCCTTCTGATTATTACTTGTTTTGGTAGATGATGCATAGCCTGTCTGAGCAGCACTTCACATCATGGGAAGATACCAAAAATCGGGTTGATTTGTGGATAGCCTCAAAAAGTGAAGTGTTCTTCTGACGCGTTATCCGTGTGCTGCCAGAAAGATGGGAAATAATAATTGCTTGCGATAAACAGTCTTTGAATAAAACATAATGAATTGAATGACTGAATTTGAATAAATATAACTTTCATAATAAATGCCTAATTTTTTATAAAGAATGGCAGAGACTTGCTTGTACTCCCGTTATTTTATTAGTTTTGTAGATAAACATAAATGATCATTATAATTCTAGAAATAACTAAACAAATACCTAATTGTATACCGTAATTTCGACTATTTTATCCCTAAAATACCTTTACATGTTTTGAGGATTATGTTAATCCTTTGTGGTGACTGATGCGTATTCACTTTAACTATGCAGTCAGCTTCTGATGAACGGAGAGATGTAACAATATTTTAAGAACTGTTTTTATCCACAATTGTATGTAATTTAATTATACATAATCTGGGATGCATAAATCTTTTTAAATCATCCATTGAAAATAAATTGCTAAACTGAAATAAAATGTACAGCTATTAATCTTCTATTTTTCATTGATTTCTATAGAAAATTCAGTAATATAAATAAAAGCATGCTTTCCCCCTTCTGTTTTGAAGTGTGTTCTTTTTGAATGCTGATTTAATTTACATAACTTAATGAGCTTATTCTCCAAAATAAACTGCTTAAAAATACAGGTAAACTGTTAATAATATTTTCTGTTAGTTACAATATAAGTCATGCCTCATGCCCATGTTTTTTTTTTTTTTTTTTTTTTTTTAAACTGTTGACAGATTAACTGTTATTCTAGGTTAACCATACACTAATTAATCCGGAGTTTGCTGTAGAAATAGATGTACATCAGCCATTGCTAAAAGGTGAAATGGAAAATTTACTTTAGTTTCTTGTTCAAGGGATGTTTTCTACATTTAGTGGTGTATTTAATGTCATTGTTTCATGGTCATGCTGTTATTCCATAGTACTTTCCTTTTATTTTTAAGCAAATAATTTACTAACCGTCCAAGTGGCATGGGTTTTTGTGTCTGCTCATAGAGACTTTTATTCAGACTGCATTCACAGGTTGAGTTCGGCGCCGAATTTGCTGTCCTTTCCGTTCAGCCGGTAACCGGCTGCCAGATATGCATAATTAAATTACATACAATTGTGGATAAAAACAGTTCTTAAAATATTGTCATATCTCTCCGTTCAGCAGCCGGTTATCTTGGTAACAAAATCGGCTTAATCCAGATTGGTATCAAAATGTTACCAAAAAAGTTGTTATGTATTGTAATAGTATGTGTAAAGCTAAGCCATATTTTTGTTTAGAATGTTTCAATAAATTTCATTAAAACTACATTTAATCACATTTCATTGAGACTATATTTATTTTTTAACTTTAATACTGTCAGTCCTGTCAGCCAAACGAAAACTCCAGTGCTGGTCTCTGAGGGCCGAGGCCGGCAACATGGAAAGTTCACTGCTGGTCCCTAGGGACCTGTGCCAGGCTCAACGTGTTAATAGGTAAATTTATGTAATTACTTGTTTTAGTCTCTGTTTTCATAAACTTCTGTTATTAAATTTATATTAATGCTATTAAAGGAAGTAAGAAAGCAAAATATTTTAAATTATAAACTAATATATACCAAAAGCAAAGAAAACTCATGACTGGATAAAGACGGTGGGGATTAATTTTAACAGAAAGTACAGAATGACTATTGAAGATATTTTAACATAAATAAGTTTAGGATAGAAAATGCAGTAGTCATAATACACTTTCCATACTAAAGTTAGTGTATTCTAAATTGATGTACCAGTTATGAATGGCCAGTGACAGGCAATAAGTAAAACCTGCCGTATGGAAATAATTAAAAAACTTCAATATACATTTTATATCTTCCATAACTTTATTTCTGCATTTAGTAAAACATCTAAATTTTTATAATACATGTGTACTTTGTTTTATTGCATTTTGCATATATATTTTACAGGCATAGGCTTATAATATGCAGTAATACCACATTTAATGTACATTTTTTTACTAGTCAAAGTTTTCTGACTAATGTGTGCCAGAAACTAGTTGAGTTTTATCACTAGTTTATCAAGTGTCATTTTGCTAATCATATTTGCTTACTTTGTGATTGTCTACCATATTTACCAAATTTTAGAATGCCTAATATTTCTATAAATTCTATACATTTAATACATAAATTTCTCAAAGTGTTTCAAATTTTTTATCAGTATTATATTGAAATTTAAAAATTAATAATCTTTAACTTAGATTTAAAAAAAACAATTTTAGTTTGTCGTAGATTTTTGAGTAAAACTTAATCGATTTTGAGGTTGATCAGATAGACATCACATTCTTAGGAGCAAAAAAAAAAGGTTTGTACAAGAAAAAGATTTCTGATACCTGTATTTTTGTTTAGTAAAGGTACCTCGTAAGTCCGGGTGAAGTGATGAGTTATATTTTTCTCATTTGAAATCGAGAGCTAAAATTAATTAATCACAGAAAAATATGTTGAAGTGAAGTCAGATAGAAAATATTCTTTGGGTCAAGCAACTAGATAAGTGGTTTACATAAACAAAGTATTCCAGGAAGTTATCAAAAGTTTCATCTCATTATATAGACAAGTAATGAAGGAGGAAAAAACAATCTTTTTGCTTCATAGATTACAATGTCTATACATATGCCCTGGAAACCAAAAACATTCAGTTTAGTTCATTTTAGTATTTATCTTTTCACAATATGTGTGCTGTTAAAAAATTAGTAATGCATTTAATAGTTTTTAGTCAAATCTACTGTAAATAGATTTACACAGTTAAGTAATACTAATATAAAATGAGATACATTTGGCAGTTCATTTATTCATGCATTAGAATGTATGATATTACACAACTTTGCTTTTTAATTCATTGATGGTATGATTATATCTTGTATCATCAAATAAACATAAGACTATTAAATTTTGACTTTGCTCATTTCTTGGAACCATATTATATTGGATGGTGTGTTTAGAATGTGATTGTTATTGATAATTCAAGCTGTTATTTTTTTAATTCTGTTTCAATTCTTGTTTTGTATTAGGAACCATATGGTTTTTACTCTGTATAAAATATATTTATGTTATATTATTTAAGTAATACTTTTTTATTCTTGGGAATTTTATGATGACTGTTAAATATTCCTCATTGTTAAAATTAGTGTACTGAGTATTCCCTTCACAAAATGCCAACAACCAAGGTATTAAATGTCTACAGTCCCTCTTGGCTGATGCAAACAACAGACAGATGGTGAGCAGCAAGTGATGTACTGACACCAAAGTATGAGCAGTCAGCAATGAGCAATAGGTGAAACCTGTGCAATTTAGAACAGCTAAAGTTTCCATTTAGGCAATATGTTTTCTGATGTTATATTCACTCTGTTATATTTCTTAAGAATTTCTTTGTATTTCTGAAGTAAGTACTATATTTCCTGGCCCATAAGACATATTTTTTCCCTTCCAAAATGTAGCCTAAAATCAGACTGCATCTTATGAGCCAAGGGTATAACGTTGTCCTCTAAGACACAAGGTGATTTTCTAGGAAAAATACTATTAAATATTTTTTCCCATATCAGGCATAGAAAATAGTTAGTTACCTTTATTACAAATTTCAATAGCAACACTGTTTTGAACCAGTAAAAAGCAACAGAGTTTTAATATTTCTTGACAATACTTTCTAAAATAATTCGCAAATAAATCATATATGTATATGGTGTACAATATATGAATGTATGCTGTGTAGTGTAATGTAGTTTAGTTTCATCTCTCATGTTAAAGTATGTGATGTGTAAGTAACTTAGAGAATAACATTTGTAGCACTTATAACATTTGTAGCACTTATTGGCAATGCAGAACTGCATTCAAATGTATCATTTTTATAAAATAAATAAAATTATAAAAATTTTTGGTTTAGTAATGTGTGCATTAAATGCAAATTAATAAAGATGAATAACACTATTTCTCACTCATAATCATGCCAAATCAGTAATAAGACATAGTATGAACCACAGTTGCCAGTCATGTGAAAAATATGGAAGCAATTTCACTTTGAAAGCCATCTAACTTTTTCCACCTTTCTGTCCTAACATTTACTTCATTACAACTTACTTGTGAAAACAGTAATATTCTTTATGTATAAAAATGCAAGCAACAATTCATAGGAGTTGTCATGTCTACACAACTCACATCTGTTTGTTTACACTGTGTTTGGTGCTTCAAAATAAAGGGTTCTTCTGGTTGGACAATTTGGGTTAGCTTGATATGAAAGCATTTTGGTGACTGGTTAATTAGAATCAGAATATCTCTTTTGAGAAACTCAGAGTCTACAGTTAGTCAAACTTGGGTAGTATGAGAGTGTTGTTTAATGTGTAGTATGCTACTTTCTCTTTGGTGTTCATGTCTGCTTTTACATAGAGAAACTAAGTGTGGCATAAAAGGTTTAAATTAGGGTGCTCTCATGGGAGCTAAAGAGAGAAGATTGCTGTACAGTATTGCATTTAAACTTGAAGTTATGAATTGTACTCCAGAACATGGAAATAGAGCAGCTGAAAGATGTTTTGGCTCATATATGACTGAGAAGACGATACAAGAATGGAGGAAGCTGGAGATGGGTTTAGTGAATGGAGATAGGAATAAAAGAACTCTGCATTCATATGCTTCTAGCTTCATAGCTTGAGGAACATGTTAAGGACTGGATAATAAATGGATTACTATTTTAAAAAGTAATTTTAATTGAAGCTGGAAAATTAGTGATAAATAAATATGTATATTGCCAATTTTTCTGGAAGAGTGTCATGGATCAAGATATTCGTAAATAGAAATGGTCTGCGTACGCATACCCAGAACTATAATAGCATAAAAACTGTCACTTGAATATGAAAGAAAGATTATAGAATTCCAAAAATGTCATAAGCTTGAGGAAAGAAGAATTTCTTGTGTTAGGACAAATAGGAAACATGAATGTGCACATGATGTTTAACATGCCATCAAATAGTACAGTGGATATTAAAGGTGCTAAGACAGTAATGATAAAGACATCAAGTAGTGAAAAGATGTCCTATACTGCTGTTGTGCTGATGGCTTAAAACTCCTTCCTTTATTAATCTTTAAACGAAAAACGTTTAAAGATTAATAATGAAAATGAATACATGGAATTTAATACATAATTCCATGTATTCATTTTCCTTCCAAACAGAGTCGTATCTAGGGTTTTCAGCGCCCAGGGACAACTGAAGATTTCGCGCCCCCAACTGCTTGCGAAGGATGGAAAACATTTAATTCTAAAATGTCGTAACATCAGTTTGGCGCCCCTTGGATTCTGCGCCCGGGGACAGATGCCCCCCTCTAGCTACGCCCCTGCTTCCAAAGGATAAATGGATGAAGAGGATATGAAGTTGATTAAGAAGTATGACAGATTGTGTGATACAGGTGTCCAGGCGGATTTCATAAGAAATCATTTTTATTAGTGTGCAGTTAGTTTAAGACCCATTAATGGAGTCAGCAGAAATTCTTGCTACTAAACCAAATACATGTCTGGAATACCTGGCGGATTGACTTCTCTAGACATTTCGGTCGATAAACTATTCAAGAGATTTATGCATGAAGAGTGGATAAAGAGGATTGAGACAATATCTCATGATGTCACATCGATAGGAAGAATGGAATGGACGTCAGTTTCTAGTGTTTTTGAGTGTATGAAAAAATCCTGGCAGAAAGTTAAAAGTGAGGCAATCATAAAGTCATACTGTTCATTTTGTACTCTTTCTCCAAGACTGGATTTCTCTGCCAAGAGTGCAATATTTTCTTGTAATTCATGTTTGTGTTGAACTTTAAAAACATTATGCCACATTCATTAAAGAACTGTTTAGTGAATATATTCTGTAAATTTCTTGTTTCTGTGTTGCTTCATTCTCAAATTAGACACAATAAAAAATGCTGTTCCGTAACTTTTGGAGGGTAGTGTATTATGTTATATGTTCACTTTATGATAATGATAATTTTTGTTTTCAGATATTATTCATAAATTTACAAGAGATAAATATTCAAAAAGGTTTCCTGAATTAGAATCATTAGTTCCAGTTCCTCTTCAGTATGTATCTACTGTAAAGGTAAATACTTTTTTTTTCTGTGTTTAGATTCTAATTTTAGGTTTAAGAATAATGAATATTTTAAAACACTTTAGTTTGAAAAAATTATTATTATTAAAACTAAAACACTATTAGGAATGATATTTTGTGCACATGCTTTAAGATAATGACGTTTTATATGATTTTAACACTATTTTTCCTCCCCTTTCTAAATTTTATATCATAATTTATGTCATTATTGTTGGCTATTAATTTAGCATCATTTAAACCACAAGAATCCTTGTAACCAGCCATAACTGCATGCAGAATGAAAACAAGAGAAGGTAAAAGCAACTAAAGGAATTTTACACTTTCAAATACCTTTGTATAAAATCACAGCTATTATGAGCATAATGAAAATATGCATTCAAGAGAAATGTGCCTAGAGTTTGGGTGCTGCTCTTTTTTTTTTTTTTTTTTTTTTTCTCTAATTTTGTGTGCTTGGTGAAAGTAAATTGAATTAATTTTTACTATTTTTTGTTATTGCTTTCATCACTCACCATTATGTCTTTAAAATTGAATTAAAGATGTTAAGGCATGCACAAATGTAAAAATATCTTTTGTGTATTTTTAATTTAGGAGCTTGGAAATGATTTGGACAAAGCTAAAAACAGTGAAATCTTGCAAGAATTTCTCACACCTGCCACCATCATGGTTGTGAGTGTAACTGCATCTACCACCCAAGGGTAAGCAGCATTAGATATAAAATTTTTGAAAATGTTTCAGTTCTTTTGTGTCAAGATTGTTATGATTTCTAAAAATATTTCAGGCAACTTTTGACGGATGAAGATTTAAAGGTTATATTTGAAGCCTGTGATATGGTAAGCAGTATTCTGTAAATTATTATTAAAATAAAAATAGAATACATGCAAATTAGCTAGTACTTGCTGATACATCTCTGGAAATACCATCACTATTTCTCCTGTGTACATCTGATAACTCTACAACTTGTTCCAGATTCTTCTAGAATGATAAGTTCCTCGTCCTTTTTTGTGTGGTTAGAAGGGTGACAGAAGATGAGAATGACTTCTCTCTCTCTCAATATATATATAAAATGGTTCATCAGCTAATTCTGGGTACAGCAAAGCAAAGATTTTCTTAGGAAGAGGAATTGTAATTAATTTCAATGTATCTTCTGATGACGTTATATCGGAGTTCATTGGATTCCTCTTCTTTCATGTTCTCTTTTACTTTATTCATTTTTAGTTTTTCTTATTAGGATTTATTTAAACTTTTCTTTTAACATTTACATAAGTCTAATATATATCTATAGAATTTTTCAAAATTTAGTTTTGTGAATTTCAGTTTTTGGTCTTTGTGAAAAGTGATTCCAAAATTCTTTTTTTATTTATATATATGTGTGTGAATTTCAACACCAATTTTGGAACAATTAGAGCCAAAATGTTATGTGCGTTTCAGCTTTTTTTTGGTAATCCTTTTCCTGCAGAAAGTTCCTTGGGACGACATTTGTTTGTCTTGTGTTAATTTTTAATCAATTTTGCATCATGCATTTGCTAAATTCATCAAAAATGTAGCAATGCCTTATTTTTTATGAAGCAATGCATTATTTCCAGGCTTATGCTTTCCCCAAGATACTGTTATAATTCTCAAGTGATGAAAATGGGCATAATGGAAGCTATGTGATTGAAATGTGGTGTCAACAACAGTCGATAAGGTCTTCAAATAAAAATTGGGAAGTGGTATGAGAGAAGTCACTTGTCGTTTTATTCATCAGAGTTCATATACTGGCAGCTAAAATTTGTAGAGAATAACAGTGTGATGTGATTTTTTATTGCAGTTGCTTAACAATATGTGCCAGGAATATGAAAAGCTGTTTCATTGATTTATCCACATCGAAAATATACTTTGCCAGAAAACGCCAGTAGATTATTGTTGCTGTATCAGCAGTTCCGGCTAATACACAAGTAAAATAGTTCTTAATGATTCATTTTTATTTACTTATGTGGTGCTATTTGCTTCCAAAATCAGTCCTTGTAATCTTAGTTCTATTTAAGTAAAAACTGCTGAAATATTATTAAACTAAAAGGGATTAAAAAGTGCTTTATAATGCATAGGATTTGGAACTATATTACAGTGGAAGCCTGACAATCCTGTATTCATTTAATTAGAAAGAACAAGTAACCAGAATGTTTTACAATTTTAAGAACTTACTTTTTTGTCTTGTTATGTTAAAGAGAATTTTCCTTCTCCCTCCTCCCCCAAAATGATTTTAAGTTATTTTGATAGGAGAATGATGAATGAACAGAATGAAGATTAATGGCTGCTTAATGATAAATGTATCTAATTGTAAAAATGATAAACATTTATAGTAAATGTAATACAGGTTTATTTTGGAGTATTTTGAAACATAAAAAATAAAATAACTCCAAGAGTTTGCTGTTGTCAGAATTTGAATATGTAGTGCTTTCATGTAAAATACTTTCATTTTTTTATGATGCATCAAATAAATGCCCATTTTAAAATAAGTTCATTATTGCTATTTGTGGGGACTGTAAACAGTGTCATCTGTAAAGAATTAATATTTTATTTATAGTATTGCTAAATTTTATAATAATTAGGTTATTTTTATAGAACTTTATTTATTTACTTTCTATTAATTATAAAAAAGCAAATGTTTATTAAGCATTTAATATTTCTTTGTGGTTTTTTTGTGGTGCATTGTAACATCTGATCAGGTTTCTGTTGTATCTTATGTTCTTGTATCTGCAGTGTTTATAAGATTAGATTTATTTACTAGGCAATAGAATTGGATAACTTCAAGCAAGAAATATACACTTATGTAGAGTCACGCATGTCATTTATTGCACCAAATTTATCTGTGATAGTTGGAGCTTCAACTGCTGCCAAATTAATGGGTAATGTTATGTTTTGCCTTTTTTAATGTTGTTTCATATGTTAAATTTAATGTTTCTGTTTTATTGATTTTAATTTTCCCTGTTTTTGTTAACACATTGCATACACGCAATGGGGAATTTATTAACACATATTTTGCCTTGGACTCGCGCTTTTAGTCAACTAACTTGACAAACTGAACTTCTAGAAAGAAACAATGGAAATTGTTGCTTAGCAACACAAACACACCATGCACACTTACAATGTCCATTGTATTTAACGCTACCTGCTCTCCAGTGCGAATCTACTAAATATCTACCTGCACTCTAGTGACAGACACAAGAAACATAAAAGTACATTTCCTGCGTGCAGTCTGTTAAGAGGAAAGTATAATTTTTCAAATATAAAGAGATGGCTAATTTTGATAGAGTCAAAAGTCGTTAATTCGGACACCCATACTCTGGAATGATCTATAACCCGGACCTCAAAACTAAAAACTTTCTGCGCATGCACCGCGTTGACACATGCGCTTAGGCGTTCATAGTTGTCATCTTTTTTAATGAATGAAGAAATATTTTTGCTATAAATAAGAATAATAATTTTATTTGGAATATTAGATAACTAATTTAAAATATCATAAATTTGACTAATGTTAGGTTTAACAAGAAAAACCAACTTTTACCTGTTTTAATTTAGCATTACATCACAGAACATAAGAGTCTGATTTGTATGCATTTCGAACAATTTACCTAGGTATCATTACAAGACAAAAGAATACACATTCTGTATTCAGTGACATATAAATAATTCTAAAAGTAAATTATCATATAAATATGAATTGTCAAAAATTAGTGTGAGAAGGCAAGGCTGATGTACTGAGGAAATTATTCTTTTCACCATCATATCCTGCTTTTGATAGAACTTCAGACAACCAATTTCAGATTTTGAGAATTCATCTTCGTATACCACTTTTGATGTCCAAACTATTTTTAGCCAAAAAGGTTATTAGTCTCAAAACAAGATTTTGCATTGTCCATTATGAACATCTATATCACTTTTCAGATTGTTGCCATCAAATATTATCTCTATGTATTACTTTTGAAGAAATTAAATAATGAAGAATTTGCATGTGTGTATGTTCCTCATACTGTGGAAAAACGATGATACATGCTATCCAATTTTGATTCCTCCTCTACCCGAACATAGGCACCAGAAAGCCCAAATTTTGAATTTTATATTTCATATTTTGTAAAACTTTAATGAATTTTTTATTTACAAACTCAATGATTTGAAAGTGAGCAGTGGCAGCATTGTATGGAATAAAACACTTTTATCTCCATTGTTCAAGACTTTATATTGGAAATTCTAAAGATATGCTGTTTTTAAATACTTTATGATTTTGTGTTGAATTTAGTTTTATGTGGCATAAGTGAGAAGAACATGATATTTAATAAATAAAGTTAATACATAAATCATTAATAAGGAAAAGCAAAAGAAAAAAAAAATGTGTTTTTCTAATCTTACTAAAAAAACAACATTAATGTAATAAACTGGGAAAAGACTGGGCGGGGGGAACTGATACTTAACACTGCATCTGGAATTATAAACTTACGCTGCTATGCTCCTTTTAAAATTTTTATAATTTTGTTGTTGAATTGTATATGACTTAAGTGTGAAGAAAATGATGCTTAAAAATAAAGCTAATGTACAGTCTCTCGTATAGCCTTATTGCTATGTAGAGTCATGCATATCTATAAAGCTAAAAGGGCAAAAAGAAATGGGTTAGCAGGAGTGAGTGCAACAGCAAACAGACAGCGAGCTCAGTGAGAGCATAAAAACCTTAACAAATCCCTTTGAACTGTCACTTCAATTCTGAAACTATTCAGATTTCTTTTCATGGTTTCTTTCTATTTGTCTGTCTATATATGGCCAGTATTTAAGAAAAGTGCTCTGTTTACATTTTATGATGTCCATTATCAGGAATATCCACACCTATCAGTCCATTATTAGGGTTGAAATATACTGATGTCCAATTTTTAAGAGTTCTGGGGAATTTAGGAATTTTCCATTTGTGGGTAATATCTGCTAACATGTGTTTTTATATGCATATAGTGTGTGTGTCTGTATATGTGTAATTTAAATTGCCCAATTAAATTTAAATTTTACTAAAAATTATGCCTTATTCTTGTTTTATTTCTATAATGTTTATGTAATGTTTTAATAATTAACTTCAAGGTAAATGTAAGCATAAATCTTTTAGAATATTTTCCATTAAAAGTATACTTTTTCTTCGCAACTATGTTTTTTATGTTTTTCTTCTGCAATACTCTTATCTGGATATTTCTAGGTTTAGTTTTTAATAAATTTTTTGAAGTGTATAATTACTGTAGAAAAACTGAAAAGGAAAGAAGTTCAGATAGTTAAACTTAATTACAAAATTAATATTTTACTCCATAAAGCATAGAATTTTGTAGATTAACGTTTCTGTTGCACTTTTTTCTTATCTTCAATATTTTAATTAAAACTACTTTGTTTAGTCCTTTTAATCATCAATCTGATTCAGACAAAAGAAACTCTTTTATTATTAATTTATTATGTATTACAAATTAGGTGTGGCTGGAGGTTTGAGTAATCTAGCTAAAATGCCTGCATGTAATATTCAAGTTCTTGGTTCTCAAAGACGGACACTTGCTGGGTTTTCTACAACAACTATTATGCCTCATACAGGATTTGTGTATTCAAGTGATATAGTCCAAAACACGCCAGCTGTAAGTTGTTCTTCCCTGATTTCTAGCGGTTATTCTAAATGAATTAAAATTATCATATATAAGAGAATTTAATAGTTACTTCTTAAGCTAACAAATTAAGAAATTTTGGGGAAGGAATAATAGGGCAAAATAATTAGGTCATAGTAATTAGCTAATGATTCCTTTGCAGAACTGTTATTTATTAAGTCAGAATTGCTCCATTTTATATCAAATTTGAAAAATAACTTTTTTATGCCAAATTTAAAATTATTAATATTGAACTTGGAAATCAAGCAATGTATCTTGTAAATTTATTATTTTTTGGGAGCATTGTTTGAAGTTAGCATTTGTTACATTTTTTAAGAGTCATGCTTAGTTTAAAAATCAAGCAATGCCTTAACTTTGAATACCATAATAAACTGAAGAAACCTTTAGCAGATTAACTGCAATTCTTAAAATAGTATTACAGATAATGTGATTTTTAAGTTTTGATCAGTGCAAAAATGTATCAAAAAACTGTAGTACAAATGGCATGGCCAGCACAGTCTCCAGACTTTATTCCCACTGAGCATATGTGTACTCCTGGGAGGTATGTTGCTGGCTACCTAAGCCTAGATGGGCTTCGAATTACTTTATGTCATGAATGGACATTGCTACCCCTACAGCTGATTGACAACATCGTAAGCAGCATGAGATTTCACTGGCAGTCTTGTATTACTGTTCAGGATGATTATACTCACTATTGAGATTTTTTTTTTTTTCATATTAAATTTGTATATCGGAGTTTAGAAGATTTTATGTTCTTGTTGATATCACAAAATGTTAATGCTCTGAATAACTTTGTCTTGTTTTTTAAGTAAATATTATCACTAAGTTTCGCTCCAATTCCTTGCATACTTTTTGAGTTATCATCAGTTTTCCTGATGTTGCCTAGCTTTTGAAACCAATCTATTAACTGTCACTGAGAACTTTTGTTGGTGACAAGGTAATTTTTGCAATGATTAGGTACTGGGAACTTAGGCCATTTCTTAATTTTGGTAACACTAACACTTCAAAGATAATTGTCATAACTTTATATAAAAGTTTTTTTTTTTTTTCGAAGTTTGACTGATGATAATTCTTCATGGCAACACTACAGTAAATCTAGATAACGTTTTCTTATTCTAATTATCTTTCTGCAATTTTCAGTGTTGCACTTTCACATGTTTTCAGTGATGATTAATTTAATGCCATGTCAGAAATTCTCAGTTTGAAAATTGTCAGAAATTCTCAGTTTGAAAATATGTGATTCTTGGGGAGAGGTGGGTTAACTTTCATTATGTTATTTGGAATCCTTGGGACCCATTAAAAACAACAGGTGTCACTTGATTAATGTTGAGGTTGATCACAAGATGGTTAAGGTTGAGGACAGGCTGCAGTGGACTGACAGACATTTATTTATTATTGTTGAACTTTGACACATTAAAGTTCTGAGTAGAAATTTGTATGTATGAAGTGATTTAAATATCACCAGACTGTTCCTGTTCCAAATCGCTACCCATGCAGAGTACTGAGTGTCCTTGGGTCAATGCAACCACTAACCCCAATTTACCTTCCATGCAGGTTAGAACTTGCTAAAATCTGGCAGTTGCAAGAGTGATTAATGAACAACAGCTACTGCAGAGCATAGAGCAACACATTATGATCAAATTTCTCATTTAAGAAAACACCGTCATCTAAATTTGGTAGAGACTCCGAGAAACACTGATCATGTGAATGTCGTTATTCGTGATAATAGGCACATCACTATCGAAGAATCACTCTTGTTATAATAGATACATCACTGTCTATGCTTTTAGTCAGTGTTATACTCAAGAAACTGTTGTGAAATCATTTGCATTATGCCTAGGTGTATGTCCGGGGAATTCATTCACATTGACAGCCAAGAACAATGGGCATGCAAACTGCCAGTTCTCTCCCATGGTGGTATGAAGATGAAGGGTAAGCTTTTTGGTGTCGGTAGTGATTACTATGACACATGGGTCCACTACTTTAATGTTGAGTCCAGGATTTAATCTCTCTTGGAAGGCATGCAGTTTGTGGATAGCATCGCCATCAACGTCGGTGTTCAAGAGGAGATTCATAGCCAACTGAAAAACTTCTTTTAAAATGCTTCCAGACTGTTAGGAAATATGTACTGATTCTGAAAGGGGGGTATGTGGAAGAGTAATATGTTCAACGTTTTCATTTGCGATAAAAATTTTGGAAAAAAAATTAGTGACAGCCATACTTAACCACCTTGTAGTTATCTAAAAGTTTAGCATAATTTTTTTTTCATGTTTTACATTTTAGTTTAAAATCTAAATATAATAATTTTGCTGTAGGACTTGAGAAGAAAAGCTGCCAGACTTGTCGCTGCTAAATGTGCAATTGCTGCTCGTGTTGATCGCTTTCATCAGTCTGTTGATGGAGAAGTAGGTCATTCATTTAGAGAAGATATAGAAAGGAAATTAGATAAACTTCAGGAACCACCACCTGTAAAGCAGGTTAAACCCTTACCTGCTCCTATTGATCAGCCACATAAAAAGCGAGGAGGTCGTAGGTATGTATTGTTTGAGTATAAATGATTCATCATATATTGCATATAAACTTTTAATGCTTTGCACTTTTAAATTATTTTCTTCCTACCACTCAAATTATGTATACATATGTGCAAAACCATATTTACTTGTATCTTAGTCTCCTTATGTATTTTTACCCTTAGCTTTAGCACTAGATTTTTTAAGTATTCTTGTAATTTCTGCTTTCTTCAAGGTGTTTATAAAGCAAGCGTACCTTAATTTTAAAATGGATTCATCCACATGATAATTAATCCTTTGCACTTCTGGGTGACTTTTGGTCACCACTTAATTTGTTATGGTAACTCGAGAGATGACTCTCGATCAACACTCCGTTTGGTGTGATAATTCAAATGGTAATGATGTTTATTTGGGTTTTATTTGGGCAATGCCGCTTCATCGGTATATTCAATGATAATGTGTATAAAACAACTACCAATTTTTAATCTTAAATACATGTTTTTTATAATTATTGTTATATATGTGTCTTTGATGGAAGTCTGAATACAACAGTTGTAATAGTAGGAATATTATTTTTTAAGTTATGAAGTGCAGTAAGCATGAAATGAAATGAAAGAATCAGTTCAAGAAAAAATGAGTTAAATTTTTCATTGAGGAACAGAAGTATGTCTATGCATAGACTATTTGATGGTAGAGAGGAGGTAAGAAGTGTAAGAAGGTGAAAAGTCAGGGTAATAGTGAATGTGAAAACCGCAATGATTCTGCATAAGAGACAAAATTCAAAATGGATAACATACACAGAATCCGAAGAAATACCACTTGTGCCTGGCAAAAAAGCCGCAGGATAACAAGACATAAAAGAACCATTAGATTTCTGTGAAATTATTTTAACCCTTTCAGGACGAGCGTCCCATATACACATTCCCTAAGAACGTCTCTTACAGCCGGGTGTCCCATCCACACATCAGTAAAGATCGCATTCAGAGGACGGGTGATGCGTATACGCATTTTAAGGGGGAATGTTTTTCTGAAGGCCACTAGATGGCATCCTGTGTCCATTACTTTTGAAATGAACACAGTTTTAGGTTTCTGACCTTGAGTTTGATATATTCTGCTTGACTTTGGCATTTTACTCATCTGCTGTTCGAGGGTGGGGAGGCAGAGGGAAAGCATAAACAGAGGTGAGCTCTTTAAATCGCTACGTGCTAATAAAAACATTCTCGTATCTGATTTATATCCAATTTCTTTTTTTATTCTATTTTTTCCTCTACTATTTACAGTCTCTTAGGGTTACTGTGTGGAGTTTTTTTACATTTTGCATTGCCTTCACATATATTTCCGTTCCTTCTTTTTTTATTTAGGAAAGCCTCACCTCCAGTCTATTATGGCGGGAAGGCGCTATTTATCAGAGAAAGAATACCCTCATATGGTTAGTGAACCATTTACTAACGCAAATGAGAGTACTGATTCATTTTCTAAAGAGTTAAAAAGTGATACTTTTTCTAAGAGTTACAAAGTGATACTTCTCTGTGCTTCGAGATTTACCACACTCATTTTCATTTTAAATTTTGTTACTTCTTACTGTAAATAGTCTTTAGTGTGTTCTTTTTATTAATTTTAAACTTTATTGATGGATTTTATCAATTAAAATTGTGGAATAATTTGAATAGCGCTTCCGAAAATTATTTTAGAAGATAAGCAATTTTTTAAGTATATTTTCATGTAAAATAAAGAAAAAATGTTTTAAGGGCTAATTTTAACATATATAAGAGCTCAAGTAATAATCTAAAATGATACCAAAAATTACGATGCTAGAAGCGAAACTTTTGTTTTTCTGATTTTTGTTATAAAATTAGGCTTAGCGATGCAAAACCTCTGTCCTGTACGGTGACTGCCTTCGATTCTCTTCCATCCCACACGAGTGTCTTAAACAATGGTGCACCATCGTGAAAAGGTTAATTAATTGTAAGAAAATCACCAGATTTGTGGAAGATCACCTTAAGTTCCTGGTTCACCCAAGCGTGAAAAGCCTCGAGTGCAAAGGCTTAATCATTCAGATGGCTTTCATCTGAATCACTGATTTGCTTGTGGATTTTGAATGCGTGAGCTCTGACTGATGAAGTAGTAACAATGAACAGCTTCAAGAAAACAAGAGTATCTAATGCTTTTGCTGGTTCTTAAGATGATTGCACATGGCAAGATACACTTAGCAGTGATGAAGACGACAATGATGATGATGGCGATGATTTGCAAGCTGCAACAAACGCCACAGACAGTATTTGCAGCAGCATTAAATTATCTAAAGCCTACGAGTAGCAGAGGAGGACAATAAGAGCAGACAATATTCAGGGTACAGGAAAGTAGAAATATGTGTTAGGTACCATAATGTTAATATGAGGAAGCTGGTTTTACTGTGTATTCTTATTGCAGCATAGGTGTCTTTTAAATAAATAGTGTTATGATAGTTACTGGTAGTTTAATCATGAATACTTTTCATTTGTTATGTTCTTACTGCAACCATATTCTTCAGAAATTAAATTATTCACGTTATTTTCCCCTCTCGCTTTTCATACAGTAGCATTAGTGAGGGGGGGAAAATGGGGGGAAATATGGTATTTTCTGGGCGTATGAGTGGCCACTAAATAGTGGAAATTTGACATAGGTATACATAAGCATGCAAGTATAGCATAAGTATGCAAGATGGCTGCTTGAGCATTTTCATGGTTTTCCCATTTGTCATGTGAATGTGAGTGAATCCTTCTTAGAAAATCCTTTGTGAAGGTCTGTTCTTAGACAACTCTCACTTGCTTTACCATATCTGATTAAACAAAGAAATTAACATTATTTTTTGTTTCCAGTAACAGTACAGTTTATTCTAGATACAAAATGTTTCTACACAATGCAATAACAACCCAATTTGGGTCACCCCATATTTATGTCATCACAACCAAAATGTAAGACAAGAAAGTTTTGATCACATTTCAGTGTACTTGGAGGAAAATTTTCACTTGCTTTTGAGATTGCATTTGTGAGAGGAAAGAGATCAGTGTGTTTCACTTTTCATTATCTCAAAGTTTGCAGGGATGGTCATGCAGGTTCAGCCAGAAATGCTGTGTTTTAGTTTGCTGGGTAGATTGTAAAATATGGCAAGTAGTTGATTTATTTTGTGATGAGTTATTATTATCTGAACAGAAATTTTTTTCAGTTCTCGTATTTTGATTTGAGTGTCCTTCAATTTGAAAAAGTAGAATGTTCTTGTGTAATCTTTCAGAAGCTGATATGGCATATAGTAAGGTAGCCTTTATGATTCATCTCTATAGAAAAACATTCCAAAATAAATTATTAGATCAGAAAGGGCTATGGAAATGGGAATGGGATTTTGCATAGATTCACTATAAATGGCATTTTTCTTTTCAAATTGTTACCACCAAATGTTATCATCTTGTACTATTTTAAAAGAATTAAATAAGGAAGTATCTGTATATATGTATGTGTGTGGGGTGGAAGGTACATTGAGCCTTCAAATTTTAATAATGTAATCCTCCACTTGAACATATGCACCTGGATTTGAATTTGCTTTATTTATTATTTTATATTTTGTAAAACTTTAATGAATTTTTGATCAACAAACTCAAAAATTTGAAAGTGAGCAGTGTCAACACTGTTAGGAAAAATAAACATTTTTATCTCCAGCATGCAAGACTGTTGCAATATGGAAAAATGTAAGACAATTCTTTCAACTTCAGCAACTTTTTTAATCTTTCAATTTCGGCAACAAACTCAGCTCTATGAAAGCAATGTTTTGCTGTGGTCTGAAATAAAACGTGCATCGGCATGTTACCATTCAGTAAAGCCTAAGATACTTTTTTTTATTTAATTTGGAAGTAATAAACTATGTGATTTAAAAGCAATAAACACAGTTCTAAATAATAATTTTTTTTTTTTTTTTTTTTATTCTGATTGATTGAGTAAACATGTATTAAAATAATGAAATATCTAATTAGAAATATTCAATATTTTTATAAAATTACACTAGCTGGATTCATTAAAACTGTTATATATTTTTAACTATTTTAGGCAGTTGGCCGTGCAAGCAGCTAGCTTTTAAAGAAATAATATAGCGAATATAAAAATTTGTACACAGCCTCTAACACTTTGTTGGGAATTCCAAAGATATGCTGCTTTTAAATATTTTGTGATTTTGCTGTTGAACATAATTTTATGTAGTGTAAGTGTAAAAAATGTAATATTTAATAAATAAAATCAATGCATAAAAAGTTAATAACAAAAAGAAAAAAACTTTTAATTGTCCATTTTATTAAGAAAACTGAATATTGATGTGATAAAATGAAAAAATTTTAAAAAATGTATTCCAACACTTAACACTGCATCAGGAATTCTAAATATATGCTGTTATGCAACTTTTAAAAATTTTGTCATTTTTATTGTTAAACTGTGTGTGGAATAAGTGCAAAGAAAATGGTACTTAATAATAAAGTTAAAAAGACAGGAAAAAGGGGTGGATTAGCAAGTGTGAGTATAAGAGCAGATTGGTAGACTTCTTCAGGCTCAGCGAGAGTATAAAAAACCTTAACAACCCCTTTCGGGCCACAGTTAAAATCTCAAACCTTTCAGATTTTTTTTAAAGTTTCTAATATCTACATTTATTCTTAAAGCATATGTTAGATTCTTTGCAGTGTAGATTAATGTTCATAAATTATCTCTATACCACTGCAGTTGTATAAATGAACGAAATGCAGTGAGTGGAATCTCGGATCACGAATGGTTATATTTTCCATCACTTAGTTGTGAACTTGGCAGCAAGTGACTTGTAGTACTCTGAAACTGGCCTGGAGGAAACTGTGTCTGGATTGTGTTGCATGCTGAGGTTTTCAATCTTTCACGCTTAGTTTTTTTTTTTTTTTTTTTTCCTTTTCTCTTTGTTTGTGTGTGTTGTTGTTATCCATAAGATTGTATCTCTAGACAAAACTATGGGCTTGGAAGTAAGACCATAAAAATGAGCTCAATAAGAAAAAACTGTTACAGTTTTGGAAACAGCTGTAAAAGTGGTTAAAAAGAGACTTTAATAGCAAATCAAATGCAACAAATTTTGAGTGAAATGAAAAACCTATTGAGTGTTCAGCAGAATTGAGTGGTACTGAAAACCAATAAAAATTTAAATGAAGCCCAAGTTACTTGATGTTTTTACGGATGATGACAACTCATACAAACAATAACATCTCTTCCTAATCATTTATGTCATCCCTTCTTTTTTCAACAGGTATAGTAAAATTAAATTAAGTTTTTGCCTATTTTATTTCTTTAGTACTGTGTTTTATCTTACCTTTAATGATTTCCATTAATTTTGTATTATGAACACTTACACAGAGTACTCTTGTACAGTTTAAATAAGCTATCATATTTGATCCAGGGGGGATTAATCCCTTTTACATGAATTTTTGTGGGAAAAATAATTTTGGTTTACAAACAGTTTTGATGATGAGCAGCTTTTAGGAATAAATTATATTTGTGAACTGAGGTTCCACTGTTCTCTAATAAAAATTTAGTTGCTTCCATATACTAAAGCTTCTGTATTTAATGTATAAGATGTCAAGTATATATATAATACACGTAAATGCTAATTACTTGCAGGAAATAAAGAGCAATCCAGTTTTTTTATATAATTTAATTTAATTATGCGTCATTTAACTCTATGTACTCCTCACATATTTAATTTAAACTATTATTTTGCAAAACTTAACTTATAAAAGGACTTTAATTATTGAATTCTAACATATGCCATTGAGTTAACAGTTTTCATATTTATAAATATTCTAAGTCCTGAAAATGAAAGATCTATATGGAATTACTGAATGTAGGAAACAGGCAAACAGGAGGAATTTTATGCCTCATTTATTTAATTTAAAATATTATTTTGCAAAACCAAATGAATGTAAGGTCTTAGTTACTGAATTCTAACATATGCCATTGAGTTAACAATCTTCATATTTTCAGAGTCCGAAAAATGAAAGAGCGTTATGCAATTACTGAATTTAGGAAGCAGGCAAATAGGATGAATTTTGGCGAAGTAAGAAATATATTTTTATGCAAAAACTATAAATTTTGTGTGTTAAATGAATATTGTTTAAAATATATTACTAGTTAAAAATTTGAACTTTCTTTTTATAAAAATTATGAGTGCTACATTAATGTTTTTTGTAACAGATTGAAGAAGATGCTTATCAAGATGATTTAGGATTCAGCTTGGGACAAGTAGGCAAAGCTGGCACTGGACGTATCAGAGCTCCTCAAATTGATGAGAAGACTAAAGTTCGAATTTCAAAAACTTTACAAGTATAGTATTAACTTTTTTGTTGAATGATTAATGTAAAATTTCTGATAAAAACAATGGAGATTTTGATTGCTGTTAATTCTAAAGTTTTCAAAATTTGATTAAAAATTTTTCATTTTTATTAATACTTTATTTTAGGAGACAAAATTATCTGCACAGAAAATTAAAATAGGGTTCACATTTGGATGGCGTTTACACCAGGGTTGCCACGCTACCGGGAGAACCGGAAAATGTCAGGGAATTCGAAAATTGACCAAACAATTCAGGGAAAAGTCAGGGAATTTAAGTATTTTTATCAAAATCTGGAAAAGTCAGGGAAGCTCATACAACGATCCCGCCAAAAAAAGCGATTTTTGCGCCGACGTCGGAAGAGAGAAATATTTTGGCGAATTGTGTATCATGTGAGTGTCATTCGGGCAGCTGGCATAGAGCCAATTTTCGCAGCTTCAATTTGATTGTCTTTTAGAAAGGCAAAGCAAGTTTCCTGCAACTTTTGGTTTCCAGTATTTTCGAGAATCGCATGTGCAGTGCATGAACTAAAGAAAGTACCTGTTTTCGTATAAAACAAAATGGGTTTAATCCTAGTATACGGTACCATGGAGGTTAGAATCAAAGCATATGTATTGTAAAGAAGGAAAACCTCTCTGCAACAGACATGGCTCCGTTCCATCATAGAGGGAAACATCTGTGCATGCGTGATATATCTGTCGCCAAAGCTCGAACCCGGTGTCGAAGTTCGAAGGTCACGTTATCAAGAGTTCATAAAATGAATATCATTTAAAATTTCTTTAACCAGTTGCGCTAAAAAGACATGCCACGCACGTCGAGATGCTTTTGTCTCAAACCGTGAGCGATGTGAACACCACGTCGATAAGCATTTATCACAAAAATGAAAATAATGTGGTGCACACCTCGCCTAACAACGAGATTGTTTATTTCTCGAGCTACAGCTCTGGATTGCACTCGCAGATGCGGAGCGGCGTAAATGAGACACTTTACCGCTTGTTATATTGTAGCGCACGGCACCGCAACCGTGAAGTTTAGTCTTAGCGCAAGTGGTTAAACTAAAGGAAAAGAAAATATTTTTTGTTGCAAGTAAATTAATTCATGGATTAGTTATTTTCAGGGGAAAATAAAACTACGAAAATCCGTTTTTAAAATTATTGTGAAAAATCCAAGAAGAAACGTCCTTTGATAAAACGTTTCTTCTTGGATTTTTCGTAGCTTTCTTTTTGTCAAAGAACGTTTCTTCTTAACACGTGTTTCTCAATTTCCGGTACACATCGCGGAGCAGGAAATTCTGGCCGCTGGGTTCCGTCGCCAAATCCCTTCGCAAATTTTCCCTCCGCATTCTAGTGGCGTAATAGCATTTTACTTGTATGGAACCTTTTCTTCTTTACATAGACGTTCTTTGGTTAGAATAATCTCCATGTATGGTACAATGGGATTTGGCGACATGATGGTGCGCAGTAAATGGGTCATTTTGGTCGTGGCGACAAGTTTCAAAATCGTGCCAACGCCTTACCGCATGCTAGGATTTTACCGCGAAACCTTTTTAAACCTTTTTTTTTTTTTAAATAAATACCTTGCCATTTTGCAGTAAAGTAAAAAAATAGTAATCAGTCATCTAGGCTAACCATTATTCGCTAAAATATCGTTGATTATTCTAATTCAATTTAAGTAATTATTTTTATTTTTATGTTATTCATATAATTTAATGTTGCTTCTTCCCTCTAAATTTATTATTAGTAAATAATATTTCCAAATTTCAGGAAATTTTCTCTGGCATAATCCTGAAATTAATTCTAGCTGTATGATGACATACCATCACGAAATTTAATGCACATATTTTTTCCTTATGTATGCTGCGAAATAAATATAAAATACCTCAGTTTATTAAAATAGATTTCTTTCTTTCGTTTAGCTGCAGAATGTCTGCAAAAAAAGCCTTATTTTATTCCAGATTGGGAAGATTCTAATCTCAATCTTCAGTGGAGAAAACAACAACTATTATAATTATATTTGTGTTTTCAAGTGTTAAGGTGCCTTTTAAGAACATACTTCACACAAATTAAATTTACCTAAAATCTAACCTAACTATTTAGCATTGCATTGTTATTTATAAGGACCGGATTAGCCTCGTCTTCAACTGGTGATGATCATGAGTAATAATTAAATAAAACATACATTTGTTATCCAATGTATATATCTTAAATTTTATTAAGTTTCTTAAGTGGAAAAGTAAACAGAATTATCAAACAAAGTATACCAAGAATAATTAAGAATAAATGCCCTCTGGGATTTATTGAATAATTAAGTGAATTTGCTACACAATACAAGTAAATACTATAATTAATTTACTTCTTAGCACAGCCAACGTACATTACGCGGATAGACTGGAATTTTCTTGAAACACACCTGGAGAACCTGGAAATGTCAGGGAATTTCATTCTCCCGTTTGAGTGGCAACCCTGTTACACAAATTAAAAAAAGGCCATGAAATTATAAAAATGTGAAGAAAAATTAACTCAAATGATACTGTGAGACTATTAGCTAACTATTGTTTATTCATTAAACAAATGTCATGATGTTTTGACTGATTACATTAAATTCTGCAGTAAAATTTACCTAGCTTTGTTGTGATTACATTCTTATTTCTGTAATAAGTAAGCTCATTATATAAATATTATAGAAAATTAAAAGGACTGTGACTTAACAGTTGGTCTCTAATTCTGAAAACTTTAATCTTAATATTAAACTAAGAAAAAAAAATTAAAAGATGGCTTTATGATAGAGAAGCTACCTTATTGTGAAGGATTGCTTGAAATAATCCAAAACTCAATTGGATACTATTTTGTGTGCTCTAATTTCATTACAGTGACATCATATATAAATCTACAAAAAGTGCCCATTTAAAGACAGAACAGTTGCTAGAAATGAGAGATTACAACCAATGGTTTTACAGGAAACAGAGTTTTGTGAAAAAAATTTCGTCTAGAATGTGGGATTTGCGGTTTTATAGGAATGTTTCAGAAGATGATGGAATGATAAATGATGTCTGAATGATAATTAAAATTTTATACATGAAATGTATGAAAAAATGTAAATTCTTGTAAGTCAAATATATGAATAAATGTAGCTCGTTTTAAATCTAAATGTAAATTATGAGCAAAAAATATGGCATTTCCTGAAAATAAGCCCAAATTTGTCTTTTGGCATAAATTAGCATAAAACCCAGCCTTATTTCTGGAAAAATATGTTATCATCAGCTGTGAGTTGTGGGCTGATATTACAAGCTGTCAAGTATGTTGATCTGGGCTTTGTAGTGTTTGTTATGGTACTTGCATGCCCAATTTGACAATTCACATTTCCTTGTAAGAAACTGTTATCTCCAAATCTGATCCATTGCTTAACATCATTTTGAGTTTTTGCCACAGTGTGATGCAAAGACTGATTGGCTGTATGTAAGCATGTGATTAAACTTGTACTAACCATAGTTTGATAAAACATTTTGGATGGCATCTCAAAGCCATTTTTCATCCTTTAATCTTTATTCTGATGTGTAATATGAGGAAAAGATAGTTTATTTATCCCTGAGAAAATTAACTTGACTAATTCATAATAATTAGTGTCTAGTTGATAGAATATAGTTCTTCTATTTTGTATGCATCCAGATCATATGATTGACTACTGAAAGTGAAAATATGCATATTATGCATCTAAATATGCTGAGAGATTTCTACAGTACTGTATAAAATTTTAGTGGTGTGGCTTGTCTCTGTGAGGCACTGTATAAAAGTACTTGTTATTTAAATCATATGAAAATCATTTGGGAATTCAATATTTTTTTAAATGCTTGAAATTAAAAGATTTAAAAAATGCCTATGTTCAGGATTTTTTGTTAAATGAATTTTGGATCATCCTCTGTATTATCTGATTGAATTTAATGTTCTTAAAATTTGCTTCAAAATTCTAATAAATTTAAAATAATATTAACATTTTCCTACAAAGACATGTCTAATCTTTCCATTTTTGCTGTTAAGACAGTGAAATTGCATATGATTTTCAGTATGAAAAGTATTTTTCTATTATGTTTTGTTTTTGCATCAAAAAGTATACTTCTGTTTTTAAGGAATGTAAGGAAAAGTCATGGGGAATATTTGGCAAAATTTATGTGACATATGATTGAATTGGATATGCACAAAATAAATAATAGAAAAAGCAAATAAACATTTTAAAAATCTGAATGGTTTCAGATTCTAACGGTCGCCCAAAAGGATTTGGTAATGTTTTTTACACTCTCTCTGAGCCCACAGTCTGTCAGTCTGCTGCTGCACTTGCTCCAACTAACCATTCCCCCCCCTTCTTTTTAGTTTTTTCATTATGCATCATTTTCTTTGCACTTACACTATATACAATTCAACAACAAAATTACAAAAAATTTAAAAACATCATAGCAGTATACATTTAGAGTTCCCAAAGCAGCTTTAAGTATTGGCATGCATTTTTCTGTTATTTTCAGTCATTTCTCAGTTCATCAGATCAATGTTCAATTTTCTGACAAAGACAGCTTTACAAAGCTTTTTTTTTTTTTGTTTGTCTTTTTATTATTAACATTTTGTGTGTATATATATATTAAATATCATATTTTGGCACGTACGCCACGTAAAATTCGATAGCATATCTGTAGAATTTCTGACAAATAGTCTCACATGTTGAAGATAAAAATGTTTTCTTCTGTACATTATTGCCTCTGTTCACTTTGAGTTTGTTAATCAAAAACTCATTAAAGTTTTACAAAATATGAAATAGATAATAAAACAAATTCAAAATATGAACTTCTGGGTGCTTATGTTCTGGTGGAGGACTATGTTACTCAAAATTTGATGGCTCTAGGTACCATTGTTTTTTCACAGTGTGAGAAACATGCATACATTCATGAAAATTCTTCAGTATTTAATCTTTCTATATTCTTTTTTCTTTTCATATTTCATCTTCATTTCTTTAAATATTACTGTGAAGTATTGTATAGATTAATATACTTAATAAGTTTAATAATATTTGGTGGCTGCAATTTGAAAAGTGATGTACTGTTTATAGTGATTGCATGTTATATGCCATTTCGAGACTAAAAGTATTGAAAAGAATATTACGTTTTTAATTTTAAAATGTGATTAGACTTATAGGCTACTCTAAGTTCCCATTTAGTTGTGTTATTTGTAGCATATATTTTAAACTTTGTTTTAGTTCCATTTGTTTTGGACTTTCTGACATTTAGGAAGATGTTAATAAAAGAAAATATTTCTTAACACAATTAATGTGATTTTTTTTATCAGCATATAATGAGTTTTAACTTAATTATTTTATATAAAATTTCTGTTTTCAGAAAAATCTTCAAAAACAACAAGTATGGGGTGGCAGTACTTCTGTTCGTCGACAAATATCTGGCACAGCTTCAAGTGTTGCATTTACTCCATTGCAGGTATGTTAAAATAATTTTTTTCTGTTCTAAACTGTGTAACATAAAAAAGTAATATTTATGTTTTTTTATTTATCAAAGTGTATTATGAGTTCTTTGCAAATTTAAGAATCACAAAGGCGTAAAGTTCTATTTTAGATTGCATATTGTTGTGTTTTTCTTTTTCTGACACCAGTTATTGCATTATTTCCGGGCATGGGTTCGAATCCCACTTCTGACACCAAGTTGTTACGTTTTTCTCTTCTGACACCGATTGTTGCATTATTTTCTTCCTTCACATTCGTATGGGGTTCGTATGGATTTGGAGTGAATAATGACAACATTACTTGATGATGTATGGAAACACACTTTATTGGCTAGTATTGTCAGGACAGCTTCAAAACACGTTTACAGTCGTTGATGAACTACTATAAACACACTGACACGATCAGCGACACAGCCTCCAGGTTATCAGACTATCACGATGGAGACAGCTTCACGGCAAAGCAATAGAGTACAGCTCCCGACTCTGCTTGGTCGTTCTCGGAACTCCGCATACTCTCAAGACTCTCCACGCTGCAACTAGCGATGCACTCAACGACACATAGAGTGCAGCTCTCGACTCTTAGGTTTAGTTGTTCCCTGAGCTTAACAGACTCTCTCGACAATGCACTAACCGCAATATACTAGCAGACTCTTCGATGCACTCGTCGACCCACTCGGCACTCAATATCATTAACAAAAATATCATCCATATGCATAAAATGAATTCAAATATTTTCCTTTAAATTTGTAAACATGTTTCGTAGCTTTCTTTTTTGTGTTATTAATAAAACTGCTAAAACATTACAAAATTTTTAAGGATAAATTTTGTATTTGTTTTTATACAAGTATGTTCGCATGGTTTTATCAGTGAAACAGAGTTGCCCCCTCCCCCCCCCCCCCCCGATTTTCGACTATACTCCTGCCAACTCAATTTACAACATATTTCTCCAGACTTTCTTTTAATCTTAAAATTTCTCATGGTTTTTATGTAGCTTGCCTTAATACTTCATTATTTGCACCCAAAACAATGATCTTGGGTATCTGAAAGCGCTTGGTTTTTCTCTAGATTAAGTATAAAAGAAATTGTATGTTGTTTTATCAGTGAGAAATTAAGCAGAGACTTGTGCTTTGTGATTGTGTTTGAAAACGTTGTTTTCCAGTTCTCCAATGAGTATTGATTGCTACTTCCTGTCATCTGGCATGTAGTAGCCAATGAGCACAAAGCAAGATAGGATTTGTTAATTAGCTGATCTTTTCACTAAGTGGTGTGAGTGTCACATGCTTTCAAGAAATACTTTAAGAAATTACGATCTTTTATCTTAGTTATGTGTGTGAAAAAGGTGAAATACTCATGCACTTTTCATAAATCGTAAACTGTTAAATAACCTGTTACGTGAACGTCGCCTGATTGTTGATATTTATTATTGTCTTGAAAAGATTTCTAAAGGGAAGTAAAAATTGAAACAATTCCAACAGCTGCATAATACTGTAATAAGGGGAAAAAATTTAAACTTGTATATACATGCTGGCTATCTTTAAAGAAATGTTTTTCTAGAATTCAGAGAAAAGGTTCTATGGAAAGTTAAAAAATACCTAAAATAAATGGAGATCCAGTTACTGCATCTACTGTTAAAAATAATTGTGGGAAATGTAATTTCTGCACATGTAAGCAATTCAATTGGCATGTCTTCAGATCTTAACAAAGCATTGTGCTTTTCTTGTAGACTCCATTTTGCCATCATTTGATGTTTTTAACAAAGTTCACATGTGAGCAATTCAATTGGCATGTCTTCAGAGACCTTAACAAAAACATTGTGCTTTTTTTGTACACTCCTTTTTGCCATCATTCTATGTTTTTAACACAGTTCTAAAAAGCAGAATTCCATTAATTCACATTTTTCAATCAGTGATTCATAATCTGTTTAAAGACATTTATCAAAGTTTGTAAAAACAACCTTTGTTTTGTCTTCTAATTGTATATATGATGTAATTTATGGTAAAATAAAAAACCAGAAGAATGATGAAGATTTGATAAGGGGCTGCAACTAATGAAATAGTAGAAGAACTCTCAGGGGAAAGATAAAAATAAGTTTCACTTCCACGTTAGAAGCAACTTCTACCGAGTACGTCATTACATATATGTAAATTTCCAATCAACCGTTAAGTAATGCCAAAGTTTCAGATGTTTCTGCTCTATCAGACGCATCTTTTTCTGATATATTTTTTTAAATAGATTTCCAGTTTTATTTTGTTTAGTTATGAAAGACATTTAGATATTGATGTTGCAATTGATAAAGTGCAGTCGCAATTTTACAGTTTATAATTAGAAAACTTGGATAAAGTTATAAAACCAGCTAGGACTGACATTCATTGGAGTTTAATTGGGAAACTGAAAAGTGCTGTTGGAATTTTAAAATACAGTGAACTGTCTAGAATAATGTTGGCTGTGCTGACAATTTCCCCATATTAATGCCGAGTGCTAGAGGATTTTCAGTATCATTACTAAAACAAGTGCTAAATTTAATTCTAATATTTGCAATGACACTTAAACTATTTTTTAGCAAAAGAAGGCCTATGAGGCAATTGCTGTGAATAAAATTATGAAGTGCATTTCTTAATGAAAGCAAAATCTGCCACTGTTCATAGCATTTGAAAACTGATGAAAGTAATATTTTTTCTGTTAAAAAGGGTAAATAATAATTGTTTTTTTACAGGTAATTATTTCTGTACTGTTTGCATTTAATTAGTAATTGAACTGTCAGATAGTAATTAGTGATTATTTAAAATTTATTCATTATTAAAAATATGTTTTTATCATTTTATCATTCAAGTTTTTGTCGTTGAAAAAATTCTGATTTCTTAGAAAAATTGCCTGATTTTTTAGTGTGATAGGTTGGTAAGTATGGTAGTTCATTTATAAAATACATTTTCAACCAAATATAACGAAATGCATCCAGTATGAAGTCATGAAAATAAAGCTGCAGTTTTAAATTATCTGTAACTAATATTTAATTTTATTTTCAAACTTGTAATTAAATCATGCACTGTAAAGTGTTTTTTTTTTTTTTTTTTTTTTGTGTGTGTGTGTCTATGAACAGAGCTAAGTTTAATGTTATCTTCATCACTGTCCTTTTAAATTTCTATTTCATTACAATATCTTGCACAATTTTGACAGATTTTTTTTTTTCTAGTGTTTGGTAGCATAAAGATAAATTTGAAGAGAGATTTTCTTAATACATTGCTAAATGCCATATGACTTGAAGATTTAGCAAGAGATGTGTTATTTATAGTAACTATTTAAAAATATTATTAGTTAATTTTATGTTAATAAGCACTGCAGTTTTGAATTCTATTTAAAAAATTAACATATGGTGCCATATTCTAAGTTAAACTTTGAGTCCAAGCAGCATCATGTAATTTTTTTATATGCCAAAAATTGGACTGAAGTTGATTCATATAAATCGATTGTATATAAATGATTCAGATAAATAATTTGATTTTCTGATATTAAATATTTTGAAAATATTGCTAAATGTTAATTCCATTTATAGTAAGTTTTGAATAAATTGCCTTCTTTTTTCTTTATAAAATACATCTTTGTAATGCTTAATGTGGAGCTCTTGGAAAACATGAAAAAGTTTCCTAGAATCAAAACATATATCTGATTTTAAGCAAAGCAATTATTCAGTGTTAGATTAAATTAAATAGTTTTGTTTGAAGATAGCTATTGTTTAAAAAATTCCCTGTACAGGAGTTGGAAAGGTAGCCTGTAAATTTAATATATGTGTGAAAAATATTTAGTCTTATATTTTTCAAAAAATTCTCTTTTAGGGTCTAGAAATTGTGAATCCTCAAGCAGCAGAGAAAAAGGTAAATGAATCAGCAGCCAAATATTTCTCAAACACATCGGGATTCATAAAAGTTGAAAAGAAAGTGTAAATGATTTAATGATTATTTCATATGTAAATAAAAATTGTATACTCATTTTTTAAATATAAAACAAATGCAAAAAAAATATTTAATTTGTCTTTTTTCAAACAGTAACAAATGCAATTATGTATATGAACACAGACTACAAAATAGTTCTCACAGAACCTTTTCTGTGTATATCCTTCATAACTAGTTCTACGAGTCAACGTATTAACTTGCAACTGTGTGATCAGTCAAACTGATATCAAAACAGTCATTTAACATGTTAAATGTAGAATAATGGAGAAAGAAAAGATAAATCACAGTTCAGTGATTGGTATTTTATGAGTGTTTTCCTTTGATGGTTGAAGGGAAAATTTGGGAGAAATGTTGTCACTATTTTCCACTATGACTTCACTGTCATCAGAAGATTCTTCTGTAACATCACTTAATTGCCTTTGCATCCGTGCATGAAACACTGAAGAAGCTGTAAATGTATTTTGATTGTAAGATGTTTCTTCATAATTATCATCACCATCTTCATCACTAGTGTTTGGTTCATTAAGCTTTTGCAGTTGGTATTCTTGTCCCCTCTCCACAGAAAATTTGTTGCTATTATTCAGCTTTGGCATACTCTCATATATATCCTAAAAATAAAAATGAAAGTAAATATGAATACATGAACAAGCACTACTTTTTTTTTTTTTTTTTTTTCAAATTTAGATGTAGAGGAGTAAGTGATCTCTAAATATTAAAGAAAATGCAGATGCTACAAAGAAAATTTGGTGACACGCTCTTAAAAATCTAATTTAATGAAACTCGTATAAATTCCATTCTTTCTCCTAAATTTGTTGGTACAATTTCTATTGTCTTGTCTATTTTAATTCAATATAGAGATTTATAGCATTTTATGAAGATGCAATTAACATTCAATGGATGAATCTGAATATTTCATTTCATTTTAAACCTTCAAAACTAGTCTTGCAAATTTACAAATATTCACTGAGTTTTTTTTTTTTGCCTTACCACCTCCATTAAAGGTATTTCTAAGTTTCCCTTTAAGTATATTCATATTATTTTAATTTTCATCATGGTAAAAACATGTTGATGAATGAAAGCTTTTCTTTTCTACTTCAATTTTCATAAGTATAAAACTTAAAGGAAGTTACAGAAACAAATGAAATTATTAAAAAATTTCATTTGAAAATTTGTTTACTTCAGAATCGTGTTAACGAGCATAAACGTAACTAGTACATTATAAAAAGACTAAGTTGAATTTATCAGTTTGAAGTATTTTTGAAATCATGTTGGGAAAACCTTGCAATTTTTCATGTTTCAAGGTTGGTAGCTATGCTGACAAAGGAGGGATACATTTTAGTAAATTGTAATTGAAAGTTTTCATAGATTAAACCTGAAAAATGTTGCCATTTTTACATACACCAATAACAATATGTTGGGTATTGCTTAACAAATTTAAAAAATGATTAAAATTATAGTAAATATTACTCTTAAAAGGCAGTCTTTAAATTATAGATCACTGTACATCAAGGTGCATGAAATATTCTATAATATCTGAATAGTCTGTACTATCTCATATTGATTTTCTCTTGGAGAATAAAAAAAACACAATGTCATTTTTTCATGTTTCTGCTCTTCAAATGATAGCAATAAAGTATAAAATATGTTACAATTGATTTGTTTATCAGTTGATGTACTGTGAAGTTTCACAAGATGTGCCATGAAATTTTGGGATTTAAGCATACATTAACTTTTTTTTTTCTTTTTTTTCTTATTTCTTGTTGCACTTGTGTAATGGTACTTCCTTTAAAGAAAATAATCAAGTTTGTACAAAGAAATAGACTGGTTAATTTAAAGTAGTGCTTCTTAATCTTTTTTAATTCGTGACTTCTTTTCGCCATCAAGATTTTTTTCATGACCCAGAATATACAAGTATAAATACTTCCCATAAATAATTTATTTTTTTGATGAAGCAGTCTTAGGATTTGTTTCATGCATTAATTAATGAAAGAAAATTGTGTTTTAATTAGATGGGTGTGCTTTTTGTTTGCTGCATTACAAATTAAATGTTGGTGCAGTGTTTGACATGTTGGTGCAGTCAATAGCTCTATAAAATCTCATTAATATCAATCAAAAGTGGTTTTTGAATCCAAGATAACTTTTTGAAATCAAAATTCATTATGAAATATTTGCAAAATTGTGTTTCTGGGTTTTTATGTGATCTGCAATAATTTTCGTAATTAAACTTTTGCAATTATATAATTATTGATAGTTGAAAGCATTTTTAGTGAATAATTTTCCACCCTCTTCTTCCAAATGTTAACCTCTTTAACAAAACCTTCAATTTTGTCATCTGAAGTTAATATATTTAAATTATTTGAAGTTAATATATTTTTTCTTTGAACGGACAATCTAAGATGGTTTAGTTTTAAAAAAATATATGACAAAATAGGTCAGATTTCATAAGCAAAGTCATTTTAAAAAACAGTTGGATGATCAGATTTTTGATTAGTTAAAAATATAAGAATTTTATTTTTTAATGGTAATAATCTTCTTCAGCACCCACTTCTTGATATCCATATTGTCCTTCATTGGCTCGACAGCCCAGGGTGGGCCCTGGTCATCTCCAGAAGTCTTCTCCAGGCATCACTGCTTATGGCAACTGTTCTTCATGTTTTGACGTTTAAAATGTTTCATACAATCGATCCATCTCAATTAGGGGGAGGGGTCTACGCTGAGGTCTGGTTCCATGGGCTGTGCCAGAAAGATTTTCTTAAACACCGATCTTCATGCATTCTGGCCAGATGACCAGCCCATTTAAGTATGTGTAGTTTGAAGAATTTTATTGCATCAGGTTAATAGATTTTGTGATACTTGGCAGGGACATGGACCCTGCCAAGTATGCAGTGCAATATCCTTCTCTCATAAATCCCCAAAGCTTCCTCATCACGTAAATTCAGCACCTAAGCTTCCGACGCATAGGTCAGAACAGATCATCCTGCAAAGAAGTAATTTAGTTCTTAACTTGAAGCTGGATTTTAAATAGCTCTTGAGGCCATGAAAACATCCATTTGCAACAGAGATTCCTTTAAGTATTTCAGAAGTTATCTCATTTTTACAATTCATCTCCACTTTCAGATATGAAAAACTGTAGACTTTATCAAATCTATTGCTACTAATTTGACTAAATGGTAAGTCAGATTTCAAACAAGGAATATATTTAGTTTTATTTTCATTAAAATTCCAATGCCATGAATGCCTGTTTATTTCCTTTTTTTTCCATTGCCATGAATGCCTATTTATTTCCTTTTTTCCATTGCCACAAATGCCTAAAGTACAGTATTAAACAGGAAGCATGCCATTGCATCTCTGTGTCTCAGTCCATTCTTGACCTCAAGTTGTTCTGTGAAGTCGCCTTGTAAATGAATATGTATCTTGGTTTCCTTAAGAGGCAAAGCCGCCAATGCAATAAGTTTTACTGGAATATTTAATTAATGGATGGCCTGAAAGAGTAATTCCCTATTAATGCAATCATATGGAATTCTAAAATTGATAAAAAGATTGTGTGTTTTGATTTCAAATTCTCAGCATTTTTCAAATATCTGCCTTAGGTTGAAAATTTGCTCAGTAGTCAGTCTCCCCCCACCCTCTTCAAAGAATAATTGGAAGTATTTTATAGAATATGAACAGAAGACCTACGAGTAATTCCTCTATAATTACTGCAATCAAGCACATTTCCTTTTTTGTGTATCAAACAGATGGTACTAAGTTTGTATTTCGTTGAGAATGTCTCATGATCATTCAATATGACTGAGTTATGTCTGGTGTCAATTAAGACATGTTCAATCTGATTGAAAGTGTCACCATCTGGAGACCAAGTCATTTTGTGAATATCATACTTATTTGTGATGGTTTAGAAAATAAGTACTTACCACCACCATAACATGTTCCTTAGCAAAAAATATTAGTCTCTGCCCGTTATCATTTGAGTTATGAAGTAGGCTATGGCCACAATAGTAGGTGTGAACCTATTTTCCTTCTGTGTCTTAGCATTTGCATCTATCAGCATAGTTTTGATATCATGTTTAGGAGTGGCAGAATACAATGCATGAACTTTTTCGTAGAAAGTATCCTTGTTTTCATCCTTATCGTCAGCTTATTCATGTCTATTATTTAAACTATAATTAAAGTATCTACCTGTCAATCTAATCCTGCATAACCTGGGAGACTTGGTCTCTCAATAATATGACTAATCCTTTTATGGTCAATGAAATCCATGCCAAGCACATGCTTCCCATAATCACAGTGTAGTGTTCTTCGCTTTGATCTTGTTAAATGCAATGTCAAGGAACCTAGTGAACTGGAACAGAAACGTAAACTCAGGAAGGGTTAATTACCCTTTATTTGCTCAAAATAAAGATTTTACAGTTGGCCCCTTCCTCGGGACGTACAGAAAAGCCTCCACTTGGACTTAAACACAAAATGTGAGAAATAAGAACTAATTAATGTCTAACTAAAGAGATTTAGCCAAAGCTAACATTTCTAAACTAGTTAGCTGTAATATTGAATTAGCCAGTGAAGCTATTAAAAGGCATGTAATATGGCTGAGTGTAGTAACAGTTTAGAGAGACGTAGCCAAAGGCAAACACACACTATTCAGGAATCCTAACTCTCTCTTTCAGTCATTGGAACTTTTGACTTAAATACTTTCTAATTCTCATTTGCATTTAACGTGATTCTAAAATCTCATTCTGGTAAGGAATTGTAAAGAGATAGGAAGTGTCATAAACTTAACATAGTGTTATAAAATTAAAATATACCTTACAACAGCTATAACATATAGTGTAATTTCTGCCATCCTGAATTCCTAGTCCAGTCCATCTCGTTTCCTGAAGTGCCATGAAGTCAATTTTATAATCATCCATTAATTACGTTAAAAGAAAAAGGTCCCTTGCTTCTGTAAAGCAAACACAAATTTCAAATTCTAAACCTCAGGTCTCTAAATTCTCTTCCAAGTCGCCTCCACAATGATAGTCCAGAAAATTCTTCTTTTAATTCCATAATTGTAGGATTTTTCTGGAGTGTAGCCTCAGGCCCAATGCCCAACATGTAAGACCAGTCCCCTGATATAATTCCCAGCAGCAGAGTATCCAGCTATACATCTGGACAGTGGGTAACTATTTTAGTCTCCTTTTATGGCACACATAGACTACATTGGGACTAGTCTTTCACACCTGGTCACCACATGGATGCTACATTTCTTCTGCATGTAATAATAAATTCTGACAACATCATGAATCATACTGTCCAATTCTTATGCTAATTTTTATGCAGCAAGTGCTCCTAATGGATAAAAGTTTAAAAGTTATATTATTCTAACCAGAAGCTTTAACAAATGGTTTAAAAACAATATTTTCATCTGTCATCACTTTTGCATAATCTGATACTCCAGTGTAGTTTTTCTATTATGAAGGCTTCAGCTTTTAAAAAATTTTCAGCTTTACTATGTATGTTTTCCCATTTGTTAAGTTCTTCTAGAGCAATAAAATAGCAGTTTTTCATTGATGATTTTCTTATAAATGCATCTGAAATATACTAATAATTGACCTATTTTTTGAAATATTCCTTG